TGTATAGCTTACTTTTGTTTAATAAAGCGCACGCAACTAGCCTGACAGAGGGTTAAAATTAAAAAAAAAAAAAAAAACTGTATATATTGAGGGTTTTTTTTAATATTAGACAATTTTGTTTTATTTTAATATAATAAATATTATATATATTATAATATTGATAAACTATTTTTTATTTTCAATATAAAATATCAATAAGTAAGAATTTACTTCATGACTTTGTTATCCTTTTTTGTAATAAAAAGATTAATAAAAAAATTTACTAGTACAAGAAAAATTAAGAAAGAATTTATAATATTTATATTTATATCAATGTATTTCTCAGATTTAGATCTGATTAATTGAAATATTTATCTAACTACTATAATTTTATTCTTCAAGCTAAATTATAACTAAAAATAATAATTATATAAAATTAAATAATAAAGAAGACTTTATATATAACAAAAAAAATACTGATAGAAAAAAAGATTAGTTTTGATATGAAATAATTTAAAAGCTATACTACTACTACCACTTTTATATTATTAGTTGGTTATTCTTTAAGGATTTTATTAGTTTAGATCATGATACCTCTTCTTTGTTACTTTTAGTATGATCATATTATTATTTCTTGTCTCTTAGCTCTAGTTCTTTCTTTTTATTTTTATTTTATCATATCTAGTATGAAATATTTGTTTATACTCTTCTAGGTAATAATAAATCAAAGTTGTAAAGGGAGTTCTAGTATATAGAGGAAAAGTAGTTTAATAATGTTATTAGGATGTTTTCTTTTAAACTATGTAAGCACTGGTGGGAAGGGACTTGTTATACAATAATCTGTTTTTTTTTATTATTGCAATAGTTTTATTTTAGAAAAAAAAGTCTTGATATATCCAATTTGCACTTTATTAGATTTTAGCATTATTTTCTTTTTATATATCCTTAGATCTTGTATTAGGTATTGTTTTATTTAATAGATTTATATAGTATATTGTTGATATTCTTTTTTGATCAAAGACACTAATGTAGAAGAAATTGTGTCTTGTATTACAACTTTAATATTTTTTGATAAATTCTAGGGTATTATTGAGCTAAAGAAATATATTTCAATATATGAGGTGATCTATAGGAGTTTATTTACATTCTTTTACTGATATATTTTTTGCTAGTCAATTCTTATTTAAGAAAATTTATACTACTCAAAATTTAGGATCAAATTGAAATAGGCAAAATTCTTCAGAAAAAACTGAGAAAGAGTATTTTTAAAGCAAGTGTATAATAAAAAAAGTAAATAGTTGCCTTTAAGATAAGTCTTTTGTTATTAGAAAAGCCTTGTATTGTTTATTTAATAAATAAATAGATAGTAATATTTTAGTTCTTCTTCCTTTTAGAACTTTTTTGTCATTGATAGAAAAGGTGTATTTATGACCTTGGTTATTAAAAGTCAGGATTATGTTTAAAGAAAATGTTTATAAGAAAAAGAAAAAAAGTAAGGACAATTTTTGAAATATTATTTCAAGTTAATTTAAGGAAAGTAATAAGATTTTATTAATCAAAAAGTATAAAAATTTCTTGCAAACATATTTTTTATGTGTGATCAGAGAATTAGCAAAAGAGTTCTACTATATACAGTATATATAGTATATTGTTAATTAATTATTATATTATTATTAATTGATTAATTTATTTATTAATAGTATAATAATTTAAATTAATATTCAATTAATATTTAAAATTTGATTTTTAAATTAATATTTGCATTTAAAAATTTTTTTAAAATAAAATAAAATAAAAATAAAAATTTAAAATTAAATATAATATGATATATTACTTCATATTAATCATATGATATTATTGTATTATTATTTTAAACATATATTATTCTTTTAATTACACTATTTGTATTATGGATTCTATTACTTTTCTCTTGAACTTAAAAACCAAAATTCTAATTTATTAATGATATAAAATGTTACTTTATCAATATAAAAAATTGGCATTTCTTAATTTGAGAAATTTCTTATTGTTAAAAGTATCAAGTGCTATTTTTTTCATAGGCAAAAAAAAAAAAAAAAATCATATCTTGCTTTTTTAAAAACTTTTTGCTGTGGGAATAAAAGATGTTACTTGGTTTGTTTAAATTATTAAAAATCAAGTTTTTGTTTAAAGAGATTTATTAACAAGTAGAAAAGACTTTCCAAGTTGATTTAATAAAAATATAAAGGTTTAATTAATATAAAAGTATAAAATTTTTGATAAATCAACTATTTTTTATATACAGTATCATCCAAGAATTGATAGTATTTTTGTCAACACTAAAATATGTATATGTTTATTTAAAAGAATAACGTCATTTTTAAAAAATCCGTTAAAAAAATTTAGTAAAAAGTACAACAATGTCAAATAATGGCTAAATAAATAATGGAATTTAAAGTATTAATGAAAATTCATGCCTAAAATCATTTAAATAAAGCATAGATGAATGTAAAGGGGTAAGAAATACTGCGGTTAAGTTTTGAATCAATTAATTTCTCAAAAAAGTATCGTTGCAATTAGAAAGGTTTTAATCTAAAATTCTAAAAGTTATTGTATAAGCAATCATTATTGCAATAGCAACAATACGTGCGATTTAATATATGATTTATCACTTTCCGTCACCCAATTATTGTCGCATCCTTACATTGTACTGTATATTTTCTACAAAGACTCTCTTAAAACACACGCCACCGTCGATGCCACAAGAAAAGAATCCTTTATTTTTAAATTTAAGAGATCTGACAACCGTTACAATAATTAAAATACTAATTTGATAATGAAAAAATGTGCAAATGATTTCCCGAATTTCATTGTGAGGATGTCTTCACGTGTGACAGCGTATCATTACGGCAATCGTTTTCGGCGCACCTTCGGAAAGGAAAATGAGCGGGGATGAGAGTAAAGTTCACAAAATTAAGGAAATTCTGTGACCTGACCTTCAAATCATACAAAGGAGGAGAACAAGGTACGCTGGGGATTAAAGACGCGTCGATTGCATCACTTTGTTTATTCAGGAAGTTGCACCCCAATTGTAGAAATTTTGAATCACGAAAGAACAACGTTCACTACCGCAGCACAGAAAAAGTTCACGTCAAAAATTTTCTTGTATCTCTTTAGTAATACATTTGTTCTACATCACTTCATTTCTCGTCGCAACGAATGACGGAAAAGTAAGATAACAAGAAAGAAAACAAATGGATAACAAAGTGGAACAAAACCTTGTTTATCACTTTTTCTCCTCAAGTGGAATCCACCGAGTGCACGTACTACAATATAATGAATCCCGACCGCAAGGACACTTTTGTCGATCACAGCATACCAAATCGGAACACGGTCAGGAGTGGCTGGTGTGATGGCTAAGCGTCACCTGCGGAGACTTCTGCATTGGAGATGTTTATGTATATTGTAATGGCAAGTACAGTATACAGTATATGGTAACTTGATTTTTTTTAGCGGAACCCTTCGTTACGCAAATTGCATCTAGTGTCGGTGATCGAGATAATCACGAACCCCAGATATCGTTTTTGTTGCCCACAAAGAGAATCTCCGCTCATTCATAATGGAATCACATATTTGGCAGAGCAAAAAACCTGCTATGATAATGACGTGACGCGTATAAATTTCCAATTTTGAAACCAAATGACAGGAGATATACAGTATGCATGATTCTTACCTTGAGCCGCCGACCTTCACCACCGATAGTATCGGTAGGGGGTTCAACTATACACAAGCGGTAAAGTTAAGATATGACAGCGCGTAATTGATGTTAGCACATAAACTTGCTTAAAATTACGTAAACTCTACTCAACTCCGTCGATGGTTACACATGCCTTCTTACTTGTGATCTTTATTTAAACTATCAGTTGGGAATTTCAATTTTTACAAATTAAGGCGATCCATTCATTTATAGCCCAGCAAGGTGATTAGGTGCAAAACCTTACTAGCAATTACTGACAAGGTGACTTGTAAAAAAAAAAAAAAAAAAAAAATCTCTTTTGTTCGACGCTTTTGATTAAATTAGCGTCGCCTATCGGAGCCAATCAATTAGCCAAAGAAAGAACAGCAGCCAAGCTAGCTGGATGATTCTTTCTTTGTTTTTGAGTTATTAATAATTTGTGTGCAAACCGGTGCAATCTATTCATGCAAGGTAGAAATTCTTTGTTTTTTTTTTTTTTTTTTACATCTCGCGATTACCCTGTTAAAAATGGTTACAAAACGCGGGATGGAAGGTTTCACGTTTGTTTGTGCAATTGCCAATTAACTTTAAATGAAGAGTTATTATTATTATTCTTATTTCTTTTACGCATCGGTGACTACTTCTTCTATCACGTTGCATCGTCGTCAGAGGGGAATTGCTAAGTAAAGATGAATTTTGAAAATTCAGAAGAATCGGGGATACACCCTTCCCCGCTGAAACAAGTAAAGATCGAACGCATCGCCATTTTATGAGTCATTTGGTGTACCGGAGTATTCACCATAGACCCATTACGTAACAAGACTAATAATAAACATAAACATACCATAGAATATTTTCAAGAACTTCCTGTAACATACGCGTAATCTGGTAACCTGTCACTAGACTAAAAAGCGATTCGTGCAATTGTGATACAACAGGGACACATATAAATAGCCATTTAAATATTTACACGTGATCGGCACATTAATCCATAATAGGTCTTCTGAAACGTAAAGGGTGGGAAGTTCATTTAATTCGAATAACCCATTTTGGAAATCTTTTTCGCCAAGGGAAGGTTTCATTTGGTTAAAATTCGTGATGATCCGATAAACTCGAAGAAAGTGAGAGATGGCTTAGCACATAGTTAGCCGATATTGGTATTGCAACGAACGTATGATGAATGGAAGGGACGAGATCCCAGAGCCTGTTTCAAAGTATCATTATTTCTGTATGATCGATCGTGATTTTATTGGTCAGAAAAGATTTCTTGAAAATGTGAAGTTTACGAATCCCTTCAAATTTATGGTATAACGAATAATGTTTGCTTGAAACAGACGAGGAGCCCGTACATGCAATGCATACACACCTGCCATTAGCTGACCCATCGGAATTTGCCCGGTCTCCCGTGCAGAGCATGCAAATGGTCGTTCATATTTGATCTGTTCACGTGATATTTCATAATGTGAAATGAAAAGTTTTTTGTTAGCTCGAGGCATTCAGAATCTTGGTTCACGCTGCGCCGTCTGTTTCCTTTGTCATTATAATCCCCGTCTCGATAAAGCACAACAGGCACAGTATCAGACCGCATCGCACAAGCACCTAAACAGGAGATCTCTGATCAAACTTTGTGGAACGTGGTTTCGTCATACTACAAAGACGCCAATATACTGTATTTCAGTCAGCAACAACAACAAAAAAAAAAAAAAAAAATTTTTTTTTTTTTTTTTTTGAATAATCATCCGTAAAAATAAAAGTAAAATACTCTCAGCGACCCAAGAATGAATCGTGATGCCTTTATTAAAATAAAATTACGTCTCGCAGGGGATGCAAGCGTCATCATCAATTCAGGCGAGTATGACTTTACAATATATTGACAAATATGGTATCTACAATATGAACGGCATGAACGCAGTAAGTCCGTTTTTTTTTTTAATGTTAATTACATTTTTGCAATTGTGGTTGAGCATCGTTAAACCCAATCATTCTTTTGGGATTGCCCAGATATCCTCACGCATCAAGACCTCTTTGACTGGATGGTAATGCACCCGTGCTGAAAATGATGGGTCCTATGTACAGTAAGCCGATTTGCTAACTAAAGTGTGAGGTGATAACTGAATGCCAAGAGGAGAAATTTAGTGCCCCATGAATACATCAAGATATTGTAATAGAATGACTCTGATGTAAAACAGGTCCAATACGTACCGTATATTACATGACCATAATGAAAATAAATAAAGATATCAGACACTGACACATTTCAATATGGTGTTCGTTTTCTCATTTAGTCCAAGAAATCTGGATCAAAAGTGTGATGCCGAGGATATTATTTTTATCTTCTTCGTATTGTATTTTGTGGGACGCTACCTAATTCTTTATCCCTTCGCATTCGAGCATAACCACTGTAAACGTCCACTCTCTTGCGCAATAAAACACAATATGACGAAAGACCAGTGGTCAAATTTACTTTCCTTTTTCGTGATATAAATTATTATTATTGCATAGGTCCACATTAATTCCGCTAGGTGCGTATGTATGAACTTGAAAGTTGATCCAAATAGTACGCCACAAAAAAAAAAATTTTTTTTCACCTGCACCGGATATGCATTGAGTTGTGAGAGTGCCGACGGGGGGTGATGTATTTGCAAGGTGAAAGAGAGATCTTGACTCTCCGAATATTTGAGCCTATTGTAAAAAGGTGGAACGGAATGGCATTGATGGTGTCACCGATTTGTGCGTGGTTAGAAGAAGATTCCTTCATTTTCGATTGTGAACAACAAATCAACTCCTTTTACGATAAGATTCCCATCAGGAGAGTTAACCTGCTCTTCGAATATTGAAGATCCCACTGGCTAATCGTTGAACCATCAAAGGTCTCTGATCTTTCATTTTAAATCCAAAAATATGTTTAAAGCGATTCAAAGGAGAAAAAGAAAACCTAAGCATTGATTGAGACAATATGCTATTGAACGAATATAGAAGCTTCAAGTTGCGTGTATGGTGCTGGACTTACAATAAATTAGTCGTGAAATATTCACGAGACAAACAATAGGTCCTAATTAGTCATGGGTTTGCCTTCACAGGAAAAATGTAACCGCAAGATCTTTATTCATACCATATCTCGAGAATAGCAACGGATAGTACAACAATAAGGTGAACCCGAAATTTTCAAGGCAAGTAACATTCGTGCCATATATGTACTCGATCACTGTCAGCGTGACACATTTCTCTCTTGTGTAATACATTATCTTTCTTGTCTCATTTCGCCATTCTCTTGGAATCAGCAAAATTTTGATTTCCCTCATAGATTCAAAACACAATGGACGCCACAAACAAGGAATCAATAATCATTCTACTGTTTTGTAGAGCCCTTCTTTCTTTCTTTCTGCTTTTTTTTTTCTCGGTGTCGTATGAGAAAATCACTCGCTCGAGATCATTCATTTTCATGTGAGACGAATGGAAATTACAAGATTACGCTTTGGTTATTCTCCGGTGATTCTGACATTGATGAAATTTCTGCCGTTTTTGGCATCATGAGGCTTGATCTGAAATCGAAAACGTTATGGGCTCCTAACATACAATCGTGCGAAACTCCTCGTTATACAGTAACTATTCGCGAATTAATTCCAAAATGGTGACCGAAAGATGAATGCATTAATTACCGAATTAAGGGCAAGGGTCCGGTATAGTGAGGGAAAACTCGCTCATTTCCTTCTTATTCACACAAAGTTTGTTCATGTTATGAGAATGTCGTCACTTGTATTATCACCACACGCGAACCATCACTATATGAAACATCATCATCTACTTGTCAATCAATATTACATTAATAAGTTCGCAAATGGAGAACGTAGATACACGCTCTTACATGAAAATTTGATGTTTCATAACACAAGGGATTAAACCAAAAGACCGATCTTTAAGGGTGAAAGAGATGTGTTCCATATACAGTATATACAGTATATATTTGAATGGATGCAGTTCATAGAACGTCACGTAAAGGAAACATGTTGATATGATATGCCGTTTAATGGACACTTGTCATGCTCTAGGTTGCGACGAGTAATAGTTGCGGAAGATGATAAGGACTCGCTTTGAAGTTCTTACACACGAAAGTTCCATAATTATATTTGGAAATTGCTCGTTGTTTCTTAAAGTCATTTTAACGTGATGCGACCAAAGATCGTGATCTCGTTAGTGTATCGTTTTACTGCCGATAAACTCGGAATGGTGACTCTCACACTGCCTCTAACCAAGAATGGTGACTCTCACACTGCCTCTAACCAAGTTTGGTTCGAAGTAGTAAATGCGCCAAGACCTAATTACCTCAATCCACAAGAGACTCCAACAATAATGAATTTAAGACAATTGCATTATTTACACACTTCGAAATCGAGAACCAAGGTTACAACATTCTATGCAATAAAATCGAAGGTCATTTACTATATCTCCTGAGATGCAGTATAAACAATGAAATGTAAAAAAATTTCATTCGTCATTTAATAAATTTTGGTTCGATCAATCGGGTGTTTCTTCAAAACTAGACCACAATTTGTGCATCTTTCACAGAATATTATTATTTTGAATTTTTCATTTAAAATCCTAAACTTTCAACCAACAACTTATCCTGTAAATACATCAAGATATAAACAGATATGCGTTGGGCAGAAATACAATGCTATTAAAAAGGAACAGATCGATGATATTTGATGAAAAGCCAACCAATTGATTTTCATGTCTTTAAAATAATAATAATAAATACTGTAAATAACGATTATTTTTAATTCAAGCTATCCTTCATCGGTTGATTGTTATAATATACTGTAGTATTGATTTTAAACTATATAGTAAATTGAAGAATTTTAGCAAATAATAATAATAATAATTTTTTTTTCATAATGAATCGTATGGATCTTTTTAATAATATTTCATAAATTTTACTCTGTAAATGTAACATTCTTTAAAGTTTATTCGGAAAATATAATAACCATTATGTATGCTTATTTGCGATATTTGATATTGAATGTTTTATCTTAATTATTTTTTACAGTATATTGGCATAGATATCAAACTTTTTTTTTGATAGACATTATATAAACAAAATTGTAAGATATTATTTCGATTCATTATTAATAATTTTAATATAGTATATTATACTAAATCAATTAAAATACAGTAAATATGAAATTCTAAGAATAATTCATTTTTCTTTATTATTGTTTAATAGATATCTTGAACATCCAAGAAGAGTTGTTTATTGGTTGTATTTTTAGTTCTTAATGAATAGAATACTTGATTATAAAGATATTTTATTATCTTCTTGAACTAGTTTATTCCAAATTACTTAAGGATTCATGTTTTGAATAACTATTCAAAATTTTTGTTTTTTATATTTGTTTAATATGTTGATTATTATTTTTTTTTACTTTTCTTTCTATAATTTTGCTCGATCTTCTATTCTTTTATTTTATATAATCTTATATAAATTTAAAATCAAATAGTATTTGGAATAGTGTTTTTATTTATATTTTAAATGAATCAAATTATTTGCTACCTCCTTTGTTATCTAAAGTTCTAACTAATTAATCAATCTATATATATTAGTTTATTGTTTCTAAGTAATAATATAAATATTTTATATTCTTTTAATATTAAATATTCTTAAATTAAATTGGTACTCTTAATCTATTCAAAAATATTTTACTATTTTTAGATATAAAAGATTAATTTTAAATCTTTAAATATTTTTAATATATTTAATTCAATATTTTTCTTGTCAATAGGATGGCTCAGTAATTTGTATAAAAGAAAATTAAATGATTTTTAATATTTGATTTGGGTTTATTTTAATTTATTAATTATTGTTATATTTGTTAAACCTTAATCATTTAGTCTATTACAAAGTCTTGATATTTAACCTTTTCCTTAAAATATTCATATATTTTTAAAATTATATATCTTTAAATAGTAAATAATACTATTGAAAATAAATTTATTTATGATACTTTTGTTTTTATAATTCTTTTTATATACTATAATAAGAATGTTGCAAATTTTTTAATAATATCTAATTTATAATATAAAA